GCACACGCACACGCACACGCACACGCACACGCACACGCACACGCACAGACACACACACACACACACAAACACACACACCAACACACATCATGTAACGTTACATATATCCATTCCACATTTTTAAGACTGGCTGTATTTTGCTGTTTGTTCCTTGCTTATAGGTTAACCTTAATTATTTATGTAGTAGTTTTAACTTTACCACAGAATTTTTGTTTTGTTTCCTAATTTTCAAATTTGTTCCGCAAAGGGAGACCTGGTGTCTCATAATACAGGGTTTTACCTAGTTTGAGCACCAGTCCTTTACAATAAAAAGTATACACTGTATTTTATGTACTAGATATAAGTTTAACTGTGGAAGAGAATAAATTCATTATTATTAAAAAAAATAAAAGTAAAGATGGAAGGTAGAAGATGGAAGAATACATATTCTTGAGAAGGTTGAGTTTTAACTGTACTTACTGGTACACTTCAATAAAAAAAGTTAATGCGTATATATTGAAATGAATCTCACCGATAGACGTTTATTTAGACAGACGAAAGGTATTTATTTCTACAAAAAAACAAACGACGCTCTTATTATTAGGCGCGTGTATCGATTAATAAAATATCCTACTTGAGAAAATATACCTTGTAATTACGACGTGGCACCAGTCTCTTACACCAGAAAATCTTCAATGGTGAATGTATTAACTTCGTAAATGGATTCATAAAACTCTTTGTGAAGGTGACCTAAATCTATATGCGATGATAATCTGAACACGAATTGGAGAAGTTTTGCCATAACGACGCTTTAAAATTTTCCCCGTTCGAAATTTAAAGGACATCCCTGTCCCGGTAGCTGCAGGTTACAAATTCAATTGGTGTGAAATATTCGACACGTCACGGAAATCGATATTTTGTTTTAAGAGCTTCGCTGATGGAAAGCCATTTTATTTAATTTCTTTTAAACAAATTGCAGAAAGGTCTCAAAGAATCGTTTATAAATTTATTCACATTTTATTTGGTGATTCATAGAAGTACCGTCAGCAAATTGAGTGAAGTGCATACTTACATAGATACATGCAGTGTCGTAGGCAAGTTTGTACCTCAAGGTACCAATTTTTTTTTTAAATTTAGTATCATGTGATAGAGTTCATTCGGTGAAATACTGCCACCTTATTTATCTCTGCCGCCAAGCATCTGCTCACTCACATTGAGCATTATTGCGTTCCGAAAACTAAAACATGCTACCCTGAAAAATTGTCCGTAATGGCGCTTTCACCCTTTCTACAAAACACCGACGTTATTATCTTACATTTAGTAGCAGCTTCTTTGTGAAAGAGTACGTCCAGACAAGTATTGCCACTTTACCTATTTCTGCTAATAATGTGAGCATTACTGCGTTTCGGTTTGGAAGGGTAAAGGGTGTTGGTGAAATTACAGGCATATGGGACTTGTTAAATTATATCTCTGGGTGATTGGTGCAGTGGCAGTGCCCCTAAGATCTTTGCGATTTAAAGCTCTAAGTGGTACTACGACTGTTGTTGACAGGCGTGTCGCTTACCACCAGGCGCGCGACTTATTCATTCCTTCACTTTGTATAGGGTTTTTCAACAAGAACTTTGTTTTGTAAATCAAAATAAAACAATGAATTTAGATGACAATAATTCAAATTTTTATTGTATTAAAAAAAGTAACGTTTGGCAATTATGAATGAAAAATGATATCCGATAAATGTCCACCACGAACACAGTTACTGGGGCGCTTTTTTTCGAAAATTCGGCTGGAAATGACCGTAATCAATGGATTACGATATCGAGAGATGTTAACAACTCAATTTTGGCCTATTATTGATAATATATATGGATATCACTAGCATATGGTTTCAACAAGACGATGCCACAAGTCACACAGTCACCGAAACAATGAATTTATTACAAATTTTAAGTAATTTCACGAAATTCAGCCGTTAAGTGACCAGCTCGATCATGTGATTTAACACCGCTGGATTATTTTTGATGGGGTTATGTTAAAGACAGAGTCTATCCGGAGCTAATTGATTGCAGCCTTAAAACTCAAAATTCGTGAAGTGATTAACAAAGTAGACCCGCCATTTTGTCAAAAAGTGATTAAAAACTTTGATGAAAGAATCGACATCTGTAATTGTGGTCGTGGTGGACATTTATCAGATATCATTTTTGAATCAATAAAAATTTTAATCATTGTCATCTAAATTTATTGTTTTATTTTGATTTATAAAACAAAGTTCTTGTTGAAAAACCCTATATCATAAAAAAATCTTAAAGGTAGAAACTTACGTTCTTTCCGCAACTGCAGCCACAGCGGCAGCGTGATGAATTGCACTCTTTCCCCGTTTACGTCTTCTAGTTCTTTTCCTTGAATATGAGGCGAGAAGTAATCCCTTTCTTGCGTCGATACGCTTCTTTGAATCTTTGGCAAGTGTTCGCACTGTCAAAGAGGTCGGGTCGAAACTGAATGTAGAGTCGTCGCGATGTTCGTTCAAGTCTTTTTTGCGTTCCTGTGTCAGAAAAGAGAGAGTTAGATTTGTAAAATATATTGAAGTACGTCACGAAAATATATACTTATATATAAAACTGTTCCGGTATTCTGTGTTGATGTTGTTAAACTTTTTTAAAATACAAATTACAGACACACTGTGACATTGGCCACAATGTCACCTGACGTTGAGCGATGATGTAATCGACGATCGAACTTGTTATCCAAAATGTTTATCACTCTAACTTTGAATAGCCCTAAATGGTACTTTTCCGAAAATCCATTCCCTTCCTTTCCAGAACAATCAATTTCATTCTACTCTAGTTGTTTTCGACGGTTCGTACAGTTAAATTGGAAAATGTTTTTATGAAAAATTTAATTCTTCTTATTCTACAGGTTATACAAGGATATTTGTAAAATACTAACAATCTCGCAAGACTATGTACTACTAACATCATAAACAATAACTTCATCTAGCTCAACTAACTAGCTCGGAAAGGCTTTCTTTCCCATTAGAAATCTGCACACAAAAGCGTTTTTTAGTGTGGTGCACCTAACTTTTTCTTTCAATGAAAAAAAACATAATGACACGTTCAACTACGCGATTTGTCGTACATTATTTATGTAATATAAATCCGTTGGTATATTTTATGTTGGTATATTCTATTGATGGCTCAATAATTATTTATTATATTTCCGATATTTCAAACACTCGCGTCAAACAACAACTTTGTATAACATATAACTATTTCACGTCACTAGCTCGGAAGTGCTTTCTTTCTCATTAGAAATTTGCGCGCAAAAGCGTTTTTTGCACGCTAGTGTGGAAAAGGGTTTATAAATTCGAACTTATCGATGGACTATGGTGCACCTAACTTTCTCTTTCGATGAAAAAAAAAGGATAATGACACGTTCAACTACGCGATTTGTACGACAAACTTATTTATGTAATATAAATCCAATGGTATATAGGAAATGAAACTATTTTTCCGGATTTAAATCGTGTATATTTGTTTCTTCAAACAAGCCGACGTTTTGGGCCCTTTATAGGTCCCATGGTCACGGTTGACTGAGGTGGTACAGTCTTCAACCAGTTATGTCTAATATTAATGCAAACCACCCTATTTTTTCATTATAGTTACAATAGTTATTAATTAAATACCTTATTTTTAATTTTACAAAGAAATCATTCCAATTTACGCTACATTAACTTTTACAAATTACTTTATTGAATGAGTTTTTATTAAGTTTAATTTATTATTAATTAATAATAGAAATTAGAATAAACTAAAACATATTAGTTGGTAGATTTAAAGCCGGAATATAGTTTCATTTCCTATGTGTAACAATCGCGAAAACCTAAGAACTCCAATGGTATACTTTATTCTTATTATTATTGACATTAAGTTGACAATGATAACTAATTGTGTTTATTAAATTATTTTAATTCGTCAAAGAATTAAAATAATTTCAATAATCACTTAATCACATAAAATTATAGAAGTACTAGTTTGAACAAAAATTGATGAGATGCGAATCAATCAAATCCGAATGTAAAGTTTTTCTTTTGACAAAAAAATCTGTTGTTTTATAGTTCAACTGTTTTTCTTTCATCTACCATTTTCCTCGCTATAGCGAAGTGAAAAGTTTTCGTGCTTCACTCGGCAGTAAAGTTGTTTTGCGTCTCGTACCTTGAAATCCTCGCTACGCTCAGAAATGTATTTTTGAACCAATCGCTTCGCTCGTGGTTCAATATTGGTTTCCTTCGCTTACTTAAGTTTCAATACAAGCACTTGCACAAAACAGCAATTTTGCAGCCTTGCATAATAAATAACAATTGTTCCATGACTGTTTAAAAAACATAATAAAATGTCCAAAAATAAACCTTTTAAGTTATTATTAATACATATATACATATTTATATATTAATACATATATATATAATCTATATATTTTTTTATATAGATATTTAATCTTTATATATTTGGCAGCAAAGTTATAAGCACGTTGTAAGTTCAAATTTGCAAGCGTTCTCCCCGACGACCCCCATCCCCTTTCTTGTATTTTGCACAGAGTTATCACTGTTTAGAGCGATCTATTTAAATATCTTTATTGTTGGACGAAAGTACATTTGATGAATTATTAAAAGTCATGGAATAAAATGTTAATGCTGTTAGTAATATAGTTTTGAGTTAGTATGTTACAAATAACCCTGTGTACGATATTATATTATTATTCAGTATTAATCTGTCATTTTTAACAGAAAATATGAACGCTATTTCAATAGTATTTGTGTGTTAAGTAGAAATTTTAATCTCTCGAGTGTATTCTAAATAGATTTCAATCCATTTAAAATAATAATTTTAAAATCTTTTCAAAAATAATTGCAGACTTTTCAAGTTTTCTTCTACTTCAACAAATAGAAAAGTGGGTGCAAGTACATTAATTTGTTGGCGCTCGTGAGCTAAACGAGGTTTCAACTCAAATGAAGATGTTCCAGATTTATCCTTTGACTGCTTAAAATGAGTGTGTTTAAAATTGATATTTATACAGTGAATGAGTGTTTTTATACATTTTTAATTTTTTTTCAATAGTCGATGAAAATATGAATATGAAATGCTAATATTTGCCTTTGCCAAAAATTATTACAAGTAATCTGTGGTTTCAAGTTACACGTAAGCATATTAGCTATGTATGTAAGTGAATCAGAATAAATGCACAGAGTGACAGGACAATGACAATTTTACGTAAATGAAGCGCACCGATTTAATTTCCACAAAAATAAGCAAACAGTATAATATCATTGTAAAAAACTGTTTATTGACACTTCCTTTAAAAAGCATAGCCTAAAAACAAAAAAAAAAAACAAAAATGAAAAGTTTTTATTGTTTAACATTTAACTTCTATACTAAGATAAAAATTATTAAAAATAAAGATTATTGTACCAGGAGTATGTAAATCATAATTTAATGTAGCAAATATGATCCGGTTGTGTGATTGTGATGACTTTCATAGCAGACCCCAATGATTATTATAAATTATACATCGAGTATATAACCAGAAATAGAGACGAAATGTCAATTAATTTGTTTAGAAACTATACTGCAAATTATTACTGCGCACCGATTGGCCAGCCCGGATTCGAAACAATTGACGAGTGTCGTCAATTGTTTCACTTCAAAACGACCAGTTTCACGTATGCTTTGCTATAATGGACGAACATTGAAAAATTAAATATTTAATTATCGATGAAATGTGATTCTGTTTGTTTTGTAATTAGATGTTTTGCCGTTTTTCCCACACTGCCTAATGGAACAAGCCCCCATAGTTAGAGATATTATCTTTATTACAATAAATACAGAACATTTTTGGAATATACGGAGACGTACTCGTACATACAGGCCAGTTGTTCAGCTGTCTAATTTGTGACTTCAGTGCAAACGAGAGTTGATAATTAAAAATGATATAAGGCCCATTTGATGGCCCTTATTTCTTCTCTATTTCTGGTTATATACTAGATGATGAAATTATATTATAATATCTTTTCACTTTACAAACAAAACACAACCACGTCCTTTCTCGTCGCATTCGACGATATTTAATATACCCTTTTATAATTAATATATTTATGAATACCCTTTTTTGCGTGTAAATGTGTGTGTGTTTGTTTATGGTTGTTTTAATTACCTCTTGCGTAATCTGCGACTCCTCTTCGTAGCTGAGGGCGACGACAGCCAACATCAGGTTAATGAGGTAAAACGACCCGAAGAATACCACCACAGTGAAGAAAGATACTGACATTGGCCCGCATGATGACAGTACCTGTAAAAGAGAGAGATATTAAAATACCGGCACGCTGTGATGGCCGTTTGGATGTTTGTCCGTTCATCAAGTTCCGTATTAATTCATAACAACGTCGAAGGAACTAATTGCTGTATATTGTTGTTGGATCACTTCTAAAGATTTTTGTCACTGAAGCAGGCAGAAGGTATATAATCTCTGTGTATAAAAATTTATTAAAGAAGCGTATAATTTTTAAATAAATTTATTTTTAATAAATGTACTGTAACGGCATTGTAACAATGGTAATTTCTTCAAGAGAGATAAGCTCCCAGAGTGCCTCTAAAAGACTAAGAGGTTATAAATGTAATCAGATAATAGATGTAACTGCCTCCGTACCCGAACGGTTACCATAATGGTATGGCACGCAGAGGTCCCGGGTTCGATTCCCGAGGCAGGAGAAATATTTGTATAGCCTACATTTATTTATCTCGTGAGTGTGGGTGTAACTTGTGGTTGTTTACGTGTGTGTCTATGGCACCCGCGATACACGGTTTCCCTGGTTTCCCTAGTGCGGGGCTGTGAGTATGTGCGTTAAAAAAAATGCTAAGATGTAGCAACTTTTTTTATTAACGCACACACTCAAGATAGCCCCGCACTAGGGAAACCCTGTGCGTTGGTGCCATGGACACGCATATAGACAACCACAAATTACACCCAAACTCACGAGAGAAACAAATGTAGGCCATACAAACATTTCTCCCGGCCCGGGAATCGAACCTGGGACCTCTGTGTGGCAGTCCGGCATGGTAACCGTTCAGCCACAGAGGCAGTGTAATATAAGGTGCTAACAAATTAGGTGCGGATAATTTTAATGAGAAGGGTCAATGAATGAAATACCGTGACGTTTAATCCCCGACGCAAAAGAGGGGTATTTGAAGCTTTTGTCTGTGTTTTAAATAAATATAATTTGTGATCTGTGGCCGAGTTTTCCAAGGCTTATTTAATAGGAATGGTTCTTAGAAGTCATGTTTGACAAACATTTGTTCAGCTTTTTAAAGATTATTAACTCTTTTTTTTTCTATTAACTTTTTTTCAGTCAGTGAAGGAATCTCAGCCATAAAGTGAATATTTATTTTATTTCCACTTGTCAGATCGACTCAAAATTTGGTTATGCTATATGGAACACCAATGTCACTATAATAATATGGTAACTTTGATCAAATGCTGCAACCAGCACAGACCACAGACTACCCAGTTGGGTAGTTGGTGGAACTCCTCAACTACTTACAGTAATTCCCTCTAACAGTATCCGTATATAATTTTTTAGCACTCTGTGTACATATAGAGTTAACAATTCATGACTTTAGTGACGCATGTGCTGCGTTGCCCTCTTTTTATTAAAAACCTGTTGTATATTTATTGCGTTTTCTTATTCATTGCTCGCGTTTGAATTTCCTGGAAGTGAAGGCGTCAACATGTGATGGATTTTCTAAGTTTTTATTAAATGTTAAAAAGTTGTTGGTTAACCCATACTGCATAAATAAATGAATTTGACTCGAATAGGCACGAACGTGTTGTACGGAACAGATGACTTTTATTTAGCTATTTTTATGTATTAGAAGTGTTGCCACGTGATACAAGTTGTGTAGTTTTTATGTATGTCTTTTTTTTATAACATCAAGTGACGGGACGAACAAGGTCGTGCGCCTGATAGTAAGCTATACGTTTGTCCATAACAGTTGCAGTGCCACTCACGAGCTTTGAATCGCAAAGATCTGAGGGGCACTGCCACTGCACCTGTCACCCTGAGACATAAGTTGACAAGTCCCATGTGCCTGTAATTTCACCAGCACCCATACCCTGCAAAACCGGAATACAGTAACACTGACATTACTGCTTGGCGGTAGGAATAGGTAACGTGGCAGTACTACCCAGGACGAACTCTTTCACAAGGAGTTTTACTGTTACTAAATTGTATTTATGTATTTAGCACCTAACACAACGCCAGCTAATTAAAAAAGTGCACATTTAGTTCTGCTATACAAACGGCTCATATCGTCAGAATTTTAACAACTGTTTTTAAAATATTTGCATCCTGTTTTAAAATTAAATTTTGGTTTTAATTATCTTTAAGTTTGAAAAGTCTCAAAGTGTCTCCTCAGATCTTTGCGATTTCAAGTTCTGTGTCGAACTGCACTTGCTATTGACGGGCGTGTCGCTTACCATCAGGCACGACTTGTTCGTCCCGTCACTTGACATTATAATAAAAATATTTCATGTAGTTCGTGTTACTTGTATGACTTGAAACACAAGACACAGGAATAAACTTGAAAGTGTTAAAAGCTTTTTTGACGTATGAATACATTTTTTATTTCGTATGAGTGTATATACAGCTTTATAATACCGAGGACACGAATTTTAAGCTGTAACTAAACTAGTTGTAAGGAAACGATACTCTCAGCCCTATTTATAAACTATATTGCTTAAGCCGATTATTGAAAAGGTTATATTGATCTAATCAGCACTAACTGACTCAAGTGCATTGATTTGATTTCTAAGCGTAATTCATGGAGCTTTCGCCTGATTGATTTCGGTTTACAATAGCTTAACTAGTTCAAAATAGATCGGTTGTCATTTAATTAAGCACGGTGATAGCGTAGTGGGATAACGCTTGATTCTCAATTGGTAGGTCGACTGTTCGCATCCCTGTGGCGAACTCCCATTATCACGACAGTCTGTCGTCGTAACGTCGAAAACGTGAACGACAGTTAATTGTGCTGTACTATATGTGAACAGCTTCATTTAAACACACGCCACGACACTTTAAACTGTACGACTGTCTGTCGTCACGACATAATGGGAACCAGCCCTTAGTCTTTTAATTAGCTGATAAGTTTAAATGCACGTAAATGGTAGATGTAGTAATATAGTTATTACGCGTATAAAAGACAATACTGTAGACTAGGCTCTACTCTATGAGTAGAATTGCTGGCTGAATATAGGTAGTGATTATAGTTTTATATTTAGAATGTTAAGAAAACAGAAGATCTTGACATATTAGATTATTGATTTGTAACCTGAAAGTGAAAATATGTAAAATGGTGAAATAAACCAGAGTTCTTAAGATGATCCTGGTTTATATTATTAGAAGTACCTCTCGCTACGCAATCTGAGTTACCCCTCGTTACAATACAATTACATTTAAGGCAGCAACAGGCACGTGTTACTTAGCCTATAATGTAACTATACGTTTACTTGCCAATGTTAATGTGTCAAGTGTCAATTCAAAATATTACTTGTGTCAAATGGCTGTCTGTTAAACTTTTTTCACTGGAAAATAACGATTTTGTAGCAATTATTAGGGGTTAAAGTATGAAATTGCCGTTTCGCACTGAAAAATTAAAACCCTTTTTTAAAAAATTTCCCTTGTTGTCTATACATTTCTGCCATGTAATCGGAAGGTCATTTAAACCTTTGCGATAGAAGTCTGGAGACCTGGACTCCACAGCTGTGTGAAGGGATTTTTGTACTGCTTCCTGGGAATTTTATTTCCATACAAAAAAAAATCAAATTGCGGGAAAAAATGGTAGTCGGTCGGGGCGAGGTCCGACGAATATGTAGGATGATGGATAATTTATATCTGCAGGTCTTGTAGTAGTAAAACTGTTTCTCATGCAGTGTGAGGTGTTGCGTTATCATAGAGCAATAACGGTGAAGCTGTTTTGCTGCGAGTTCCGTCGTCATTATTCAAACGCCATATGTCATATTGTGGGTATGCTAACATTAAACCATGACGTTTCGTGGTAGTTTGATACGGATCGGCTTCCATCATTACCTTCAATTCAACGTTATTTACATTTGTGACTGGTCTTCCTCGTGGTTCTTTCTTCAAGTCGTAATTTGCCGTATTGCCGGCGTTTGCCGTATTTGCGTATGCCGTATCCTCTCCAAATACAGCATTGACAGTTTCTGCTACGTTAACTCCATGTGGAAATTCGTATTCGAAAATTAGGTACTCAGATTTTCGCTGTATCTGTCTTCACGTTAAAAGCTGAATGTAAAAACAATTGAAAGTCGAACAATCAAATATCATGTTTTTTAAGTTAAGCATGTTTTACTTTTCGTGTGAAAAACGTTGCACTCTGAAATCGGACACCATACAGGTTTAATTTTAATTTAAAGTGGCCAGTAAAATAAATCGGCAATTTCATATTTAAACCCCTATTATTACTGAGAATCCGCTGCAAAAACATTGTAATAATGTTTGTCGCAAAATCAGTGACGACTTAGGTGCATCTAACTCACAATTCACGATTTAGAAGGTCTCAAATCTTGCCGCTTAATAGGAGTAAATAAACTTTATCTTTGAAATTTTAACAAACCTAACCAATCAATGTATGCGGAATGTATTTTTTGTTGGTACTGGTGCTGGTCGGCAAGACTGCAGTTTGTAGACAATGATAGGTAAAAAAAGATAAATGGCGTAAATGCGAGTTACTTCAATCTGCAAACGTAAATAAATCGATCACCCACAATGTAATTGATATATTTTTGGTTAATTTTAAAATGTGCCAGAAATTACTTAACTTTTTCTCACACAAATTCATATAGATCTTATAACATGTACGAGGATAGATCAATTCTGGTCAATTAAAATATATGAAGTATCTAGTACATTTTTTCCTACTATGTTGACCCCCACTACAAATTTTAATTTGTCTAAGTGCCATCAGATTCTAGTACACCAAGCTCTTATATACTTCTTCGCACATTAATAAAAATGTGTAATTAAATTTTTATTGAATTGATATTCAATTATTTTTTGTAAAATTGCTCCACTAGTTTGTTATAATTATTAATACAAAGATCGAACACTCAGAAAAAACACTCAGAAAAAATTCCTTCGATCCCGTCGGATTCGAACCGACGTCCTCTTGCATACCGTGCCAGACGCTATAACAACTAAGCCACGGAACGAACCAACGGACCTCACGAATTTTTCTATGTGCTTGTGTCGTGTCTTTGTACTTGGTCTTTGA